TAGCCCCTCAGCTGAGAACATAAACGTATATAGTTGAATTTTATTATTTTTTTGGGGGGGCGGGGTTACTGGGAATCAAACTCAGTACTTTGGGCTTGCCAGGCAGGTGCTGTGTCACTGAGGGATATCTCCCACCCCTGAATTGTATTTTTAAATCTGAGAATTTAAAGAACAGTAACAAAATTTGTGGAGGACCACCTGGGTAACTCTCCTTGAAAGAGGAGCAATTGTTTCCATTTTGGCTGTGCCTGACCCTATGTCCATGTGTTGATATGTACAGAGCTGGTTAGGACTTTTACTTATCCCTTCAGTTGGCTTTAAGCAATACATATCAGTCTAGTTGAAGTGCTTTTGGTAGTCTTCGAAGACAACAGATATGTTTCCTCAGAATCCCCACCTGCTGCTCTTTAGTGTGAGCTGGATCAAGAGGAGTCAAACATCCAATGCTCCACCCTGTCCCCTGGGATTAAGTCTTGAGTTAGTGGCTATGACTTCTTGGGACTTGAAAGATTACACATCAGAGCTGAAACACTGACCCCAAAACATTAGATACTATCTCAGTTTTGTAATGCAGATTATTCTCTGTATTTCCTTTTCTCTGCATATTGCAGAGGCAAATGCAGGTTTCCCACCTAGCCCAGCTCACAGCACTCACTCACTTCCTATCATTTTCACAGTCACTTATGCTCAAGCCACTTCTTTCTTCTTGAATGAATAAAACCTGGGTTTGGCCTTGGTCGTGGCCTTTGTTCTGGATAGCCATCATCTGGTTGGATTTAGGAACGCTTGGCTCTCTAGAAGTACAAATATGCCTTAGTGTCTTTATTCTCACTGTGAGTTGCACTGAAAGGGGTAGATTGGAATTAACTTGATGGGATTCCAATAATTTATCTATGGGATTACAAATATAAACTTTCCTGGACTGAGATGAGGACCAGATAGGGCTCTCTATAAAAATTAATGCCCAGTTTAACAATTTTTTGGGGGTGTTAGAAATTGAACCTGGGCCTATGCTTACTATGGGCCTCATACATAGTAAGAATGTGTTCTACCTATACCACTAGCCTGTAAAAGTTTTAAATGTCTTTTTGTTCATTATAGGTTTATCAATGTGATAGGACCATTTCATTTCATTTCATTTTGAATCTCAGATCTCTTTGATACGTATTTTTATGTTTGGTTCAGGTTTGTAGTAATTGTGTGACTTCAAGATATCATTTTGTGTATTTAGATTATTTTCTGAAGTGTGTAGTTTGTACTTTATTAGTTTCAGAAAGTCAAATACTAAAAGAAAATAATCAAATCAAATAGCATCTATCATTATTTACAAATGAGCTTCTCCCCACTAGATTTATCAACTACCTGCAATAGTAGTCATAGTACTGAGTGAATTATTACATTCAGTTCTCTTACAAGAATGTAAGTTATGAACAGGTGAGAATGTTTATTCACATGCCTGTTAAAGAGCAGTTGAATAAATGTCAAGTGAGTGATTAGAGTGAGGTTTATATAATTCTGCCATTTTAGAAATAAGGAATGCATCTTCCTCAGAGTGACTGAAGCACTGAACCAAGGATAGACTTCTAGTAATGGAAATGAAATCCAAGTACATGAGGGATGATGTGTCATTTTGACAGTGAGGACATGCTAACCTTATCGTAGCCAGAAGTATATAGTAAGAAATGTGTGTAGTAATTCAGTATTAATTATTGCTGTGGCTTAGCTTCACAAACTTCCTTAAAGGGCTAGATTGTAAATATTTTAGACTTGCAAGTCAGCTATAGCATCTACTCTAGTCTGCCATTGTAGTATGAAAGGAGTCTTAGATAATTAAGAAGTGGATCCATATAGATATGTTCCAATAAAACCTTATTTGCAAAAATAAATGGCAAGTTGGTTATATCCAGCGTAGTGTAGCTTGTATAGTTTAGCAGCTCCTGTTTTAGGTCATGTCTTGCCACTAGTACCACTAGTGATGACACATATGTGGGTCCTGAAATTGTATGGTAGTACTTGCAGTATGGTGATCCAGATGAGGCAGCCTATAGTTTAATCTGTATTATTTTTCAAGGTTAATCTGGGAATGAAAACAAAATTTAGAGAATTGTCATTAAGTATATAGCAATCTCCAGGAATTCTTATCTTTACTTTGAAAATAGGTGATGTAAAGGAATAATAAAAGTTGAAAAGGCTATAGTAAATAGAGCTGGAGAGATAGCTCAGCAGTCTAAGTGCCTCTTGATAGCCAGTACTGCATGCCATATGTACCGTGGTGTTCTGGGTGTACCGTGCCAGCCCAGAAACTGGAACTGGTGATTCATGCCTGTAATCCTAGCACTGGGGAACCTAAGACAGGAGGATTACTATGAGTCTGAACTGTGTAGGAAGACCCTGTATATAATGTATGTATGTATATTATGTATATGTGTATATATGTATATATGTGTGTGTATATATATATATATATATGTACAGTAAATGAGATATATTATAAAAGATAGTATTGTTTCATTCAAATTTGTATTGCAGGGCTGGAGAGATGGCTCAGTGGTCTAAAGCACCTACTTGGAACAAGCTTAGCAAAGCACAGTGGACCGCGGTTCAATCCCCCAGCACCACATGCCAGCCAGCCCCGACCCCTTGGTGGGCTGAGCTGGCCACACACACACACACAATAAATAAATGTAAAAATAAATAAATAAATAATTAAAAAAAAAACAAAAAACAAATTTGTATTGCCTAGTGAAAGACTAAGACTGGGGATGAGTCAGCAAACTTCTGTTATTTTTCCTTTATAATTATATCCTACCGGAACCATTCTTTGGCTTTTTTCTCTAGGAACTAGATTTTATTAGATTTTTGCTGCTTTTGATTGCTTTTTCTTTAGCCAGCTGTTTAGAATCCTCCTCCTCCTCCTCTTCATCTTCACATAGGGTCTTACTCTCTGTGTAGTTCAGGCTGCTCTTGAGTTCAGTATGTAGCCTAGGTTGGCTTTGAACTCATGACTATCCTCCTACTTTCAGCAAAAATGTCATGAAGATTTAATGGCAAATTCTTGTAATCCAGAACTCAGGAGGCTGAGACAGGAGATTTCTGTGAGTTCAACACCAGTCTGCATTACATATTGAGACTCTGTCTCAAAACAAAAACAAAAAGTAATGAATTTTTATATCGGTAGCATCCATATAATGGACTATTGTGTTTTAGCCTTTTACAGATAGTGAAAATGTGCAGCTGCAGGCAATTATGTAGGACGTTTAATGAAAGTATTGGCGTTCTACTTTGTCACTTGTGAATTGTGGGCCCTGTAGCAAATTTGTACAGTTTTCTAGCTGTCTGTAATTATGAAAAATAGATAATAGTAATAATAAAGAGTGTGTAGTTTTTACACGAGGATTAAATAAGGTAATATATAAATGCATACAGAGATTTTCTGTGTTTGGGATGGTGTCTTTCTGTGCCGCCCAAGCTTGTCTTGAGCTCCTGGTTTCAAGCCCTCTTCCTCCCTCTGTCTTCTGAAGAGCAGTTATTTGCCACCACACTTAGCTCATTGCCTGTATAGTTGTAGCACAGTTCTTGGCATACCCTAAGTCTTTCAACATAAACAGCTGTACCATGTGATAGGAAAGGTACATTTAGGAGTTCTTAGGATTTGGGGATGTTTGATGTGAAGAAGATCTGGACCACTTAGATCTCTCTCTCTCTCTCTTTCTCTGTCTCTGTCTCTGTCTCTGTCTCTGTCTCTTTGTCTCTCTCT